ACTTTATTGAGGGACCGTGGTCGTCCAAAATCCACTCGAATTTATTGTGATATGGATATTCGAGAAAAATCTAGGCATAACAAAAAATGTGGGCATTGTAGAAACTCAGGACACACTAGAAGAACATGTCCACTTCTATTGTCATCAAGTAACCATTGATGAGGATTAAGAAAACGATACAAGAAAACGAGATTCGACGTTGACGTTATATGTGATTATAATAAAAGAGATAATAAGTGACAAACTTAAGAAAATTATCAAACACAATTATTAAATTTTATCAAACTAATAGCAATTTGGTATTTGAATATAATTTTAAATATAACAAACTTACAATAAGTATTAAATGGTAAAAAATAAAAAAATTACAATAACTGTTATTAAATGGTAATAAACAAAATTAACAAACAGTTCAACAAAATTAACAAAATAAATTAAGTGTTAAATGATAAATAAAAAAATTACAATAAAAAAGTCCAATAAACAACTAAATACAAATATAATAAAATATCAAAATCTATCGATGTCTGCGGTGTGAATGTGTTCCGCAGGGCGATGACTATCTATCTCGAGGAGGATTTCTTCGTATAACTGGTTCTGACTCCTCAATGTCATCATCATCACCATCATCGTCGTCGTCGTCATCGTCGTCAAGAGCAGATACATTTTGTTGATGAGGAACTGATGACGATGTAGCACCTCCATAGAATAAGGACCCTCGAGGTGTATAACTAACTATCCCCCCACTCATAGAAAACTGGGAAAACTCAAAACACACAGACATCGATGAGTGTGAAAACTGTACAGAAGGTGTATGTGCGGCAATCATCGGTGATGAGGCTGCACCTGCCAAATAACCAACAATATGAACCCCAAGTTAGATCTACAAACATAGACCCATAATATCCTTCTGGAGGGGTCATATAACTCTATGACGATGGCGGCGGCGACATCTGGTTAGGAAAAGGCGCTGACGACATCAGATATGGTTGCGGGGTGTAGGTCGCTACAGACGGTGGTTTCTATGAAAGTTTCAGTGGTGCAGCTGACGACGAATCGGAAGTACCTGCTCTCTTTCTACGAGTCGGGGGACAATGGGGTTTTGAAGGTGCACGTCTCTGTCGACGTCGATGAATGCTCCATCCTCGTGCATCCTCAGAAAGCAGAAATGGTTTCTCGTTACTATTGAACCACTCATAATAATCATCTGTAACCGTCAAGTGGTCAACATAAATGGGCACTCTATGGGGAAGGCGCCGATGTCGATCCTCCCACATCATGACCCACTCATAATGCTTCACCAACCAATTTATATCTGTCTTGCCAAGTCAATATGAATTATGAAACTGGTCCATATTGCGAGGTGCTTCTGGAATTAGTTGTACAAAACCAAATTGTAGGAGCATGCGATCAGTGGGGTGCCACTCGACAATCGTATAACAGATCAAAGGAACCACCGCCATCCAAACATCTGATGGGCCCCTCAACTCAGGTAGGATGCACATCCTCATATCATCATTAGAATATGAAACCCATTCAAACTAAAAGAAATATATATAATTCTTATCAAAATAATAATCTAATTATATAACTATAATACAAAATCAATTTTTAAACATTAAAATGCATACCCCTGTGCCAGCTTCTGATTGATTAGTAGCCTAATTATTTATAATTCATCAGGTAGATCCCGATGAATTTTCTTGTCAATAGAGCACCTATTCAAGGAAAAAATTATTATACACTAGATAAAATGATTAATATACAAAATCAGTTTAGTAATTACCTTAATAGTAGCGGAAATACGAACGGGTTCTTCACAACAAGACAGAAAAAGGGTAAGTGATACCATGCCCAAGACTGCACCAAAAGGAGACATCCGCCGATAGCATTTTTCCTGTAGTCAGTCGCTCGACACATCTCCCTATACATGAATGTCAAAACTGCCGAGCCCCAACTCAGTAATCCAGCCAATTTGCATCTATTAGCTGCATTATGCATGCCCGTGCATACATTTTAACTTGATCCTCTGAGGCGTCCTCACTCAAATTCCGAAAATTTGCATATAACCAATTTAATGGTATCCGACCACCGTTAAAATTTTGCGGGACACCTCCTAGATAATCCTGGCACAAACTAGTCTAGTTACCATGAACCATCCCTAAAATCACATCTCCATCCACAGGAAGCCCCAAGTGCATAGAAACATCCTCAAGTGTAATCGTGCACTCTCCGCACGGAAGATGAAATGTATGGGTCTCCGACCTCCACCGCTCCAGTAATATAGAAATCAAGTTTGGTTCTATCTTACAATGGCCTTCATATCTAGCTATGTGACCGAATTCAGCCTCGACTAAATACGACCAGACACAGGTAGGTATCGCTAACTTAAGATTCATAATAAAATGATCTAATAAACGCTCGCTCTCCTAAAATATTAATAATTACAAAATTAATTTATAAACTAATAATCATGCATTAAATAAATAATTATTACTAATAATTTAAATTAAATTAAAATGCAAAAATGTTACCGTATCAGCAAAATGTCGAGATATATGATTTCCATTTAAACGAAGTAGATCGCCTTCCATTTTATAACTGCAAAAAAAATATTTAAATAAAATATTAAAAAATTTGAATAGTTAAATAAAATACTAACAAAAATTAAATATAATAAAATATACCTTAAAGAACTATGAGAGAATATAAAAGTATTTGAGAGAGCTTGAGAGGATATGGTGTGATGAAAGTGATTGAGAATGGAGGTATTTATAGGGAGGGAATGAGGGTGTGAACTGGAGGGTGGTTGGGAAATTAAAGCAAAGGCGCGGCCCATGCACCGCGCTATACCCCTACATGGCATAAGGCGCGGCCCATGTACCGCGCCTTAGCCAGCGTGTCTCCATGTCAGCATAAGGCGCGGTTCATGGGACGCGCCTTACCTCACGTGACGCCAGGTCAGCGTAAGGCGCGGTGCATAGGGCGCGCCTTCCTACAAAGGGTGCTAGATCGGTAAATAAAGATAAAATGGTGTCTGACAGGTAATTAAAGTTCTAAAGGGGGATTTTTCGGTGTTACCGCCTAAATTACAAGTGTTATATTTAATAAAATAATTATAATATAAAAGTATAAATAATTTTAAAAAATTAGAACAATTATATCATATCTTATCATTCTTGTTAGTCTTATCAATCTTATCAGTCTTATTAATTTTATCAATCATATATTAAAAATAAATTATCATATTAAATATTTTATTATTTTTAGACATAAAAACAATTAATTAAATTATAAGTGTTATATTTAATAAAAGAATTATAATTCAAAATAACAAACAATTATAAAGAAAGAGGGAGAATGGACCATTATATGATAATAAATATTACGATAAACAACTTGAATGATCTTTTAATTATGTGGTTGGTGTCGATATGACTAATATTTTTAATTTTTTGTCAATATAACTACTTAACTATTTAATTAATTTCAATATAGTTACATGTTGTTAATTGATTTTAATATAGTCACATATTATACATAAAAAATAAAAAAATTCTAATAAATAAATAATTTTTTTATAATTATTTTTAAATGATTAAAAAATTCTAATAATTAAATTAAATTATTTTTATACAATTATTTTTAAATGATTCAGAAATTTTAATAAATAAATTAAATTATTATTTTTTATTGTTTGCATTTATTTTTAAATTATAAATGAATAACAAACATAGTAGAAAAGAAAAATTACTATATAATTTAAACTCATTTAAAAATAATTATAAAAATGAAAAATAATTTAACTTAAAAATATAAAAAGTTTTAACTCATTTTTATTTTTAAACCTTCTATTAACTAATAATATATTTATTAAAATATTATTTAGGTGATCATTCAAATAGTTTTTCTTATAATTTATTTATTGCAATATTATTATTTTTTATGTATAAATTAAAACAATATATGTAAAATGTTTGACAAACTAGTAACAAACATTGAGTTTGCCTCCGTGGTTGAGGCGTGTCCACCCTTAACTTGACATCTTAGGATAAATTCACCTAGGTAACAATATTTTGTTTATGCTTGTTTTTCATTTAAACATGTGGATACACGTGTCACTATTAAAATATGTCACTATAATCGATTGGCACATGGCACATAATGATTGGAGGGTTAATTTTTGAATTAAATTAAAACTAAGACTAAATTGATAGAATATGTAAGCAGTGGGAACCAATTGTATAATTATACCAATTTTATTAACTGTCACGTTATCACTTCCGTTAAATATTAATGACACGTGACTATATTGAAACCAATTAAATAGTTAAGTGGTCATATTGATAAAATTTTGAAATGGTGATCATATCTACACCAACCTCTTAGTGTTGTTGCCTTAAGCACAAATCTGGTTTATCATGCACAGTCCAAACATGTTGATATGGATGTTCATTTTGTACGTGAAAAAGTAGCAACTAAGCATATTCAAGTTAATTATATTCCTGCAACTCATCAAGTGGCAGATGGTCTTACAAAACCATTAACAAAAGGAGCATTTGAGTTGTTTCGAGAGAAGCTGTGTGTTCTACGTTTTTAGTGTAAAAGGAAGAAGACAACGAAGTGGGGGAGAATATTGGAATATGCATTATTAACGTGTGCATGCATTGTTAACGTGGGCATTGAGTGAGCTTTATTGATGCGTGTGTGAGTTGTTATGGTTGTTATGAATAGTGATGTATGGAGTCAGTTATGAATGTTGTTAGATGTTACAAGTAGTTGAGAGATTGAGTGAGCTTGAAGTCATGACTCTTATATAAGCTAGTTGTGTTGTAGTTACAAAATATGCATAATAAACAAATGTTATTCATTTCTTCTTAATCAACTTTTTAACAACGCATAACAGAAGACGGAGCATATGGATTTTCAAGAGCCAATGGTTCAAATGTGTGAGTTCCAATAAAAAAATTCCTGAATACCAAAGGGTTTTTAGCGAAGCAATGGCATGCAACTCTAGGATAGTCATGAGAGTGGTTCTTAAGTATTACAAAGGCGAGTTCAATAATATCGAAACAATCGTTGATGTCGGAGGAGGATGGGGAGCTGTCGTGGTGGAGATCGTCGAGGCACATCTTCATATTAAGGGTTTTAACTTTGATCTTCCAAACATTATGGCTGGTGCACCCGAGTACCCTGATGTCACACATGTTGGAGGTGACATATTTGACACTATTCCCATGAACCCTGATGCAATATTTCTCAAGGTATTATATATATATATTTGATACACTGATAATATATAAATCAAACTTTTCATATTGAATTGATTTTGTGGATATTGCACAATCGGAACGACGAGAAATGTAAGGAGATCCTGAAGAATTGCAGGAAAGCTTCAGAGGAGAGAAATGGACAATTGATAATAGTGGACGTAGTTCTTCGTCCAGAAAGTGAAAACCTTTTCGATGTTGAAGCACAAAGGTACGACTTGAAGATGATGGTTTTTTTCCGAGTGGGAAGGAAAGAAGTGAAGACGAATGAGAGAAGCTATTAAAACGAGGAGGTTTCTCCAATTACACCTTCATCAAAATCCCTTTTTTATCCATTGTCGAAGCCTTCCTTATGAATAAGAACACTACTAGAATTACTTAATTGATGCAAACTAATTATGCATATTGATCACATATTTCCATGTTAACATCACAACTCTTTATGTTCACAAATCGTTCGATGAACTGTTCATAAACTATTCGTATAACGAACATAAACAGAAGTGTAAATGAGCATAGCATTTGATTAACTGTTCGTATAACATTCATTTATTAAGATAAATAAATGAGTTTGATCAAAAAAAATTTGTTCACTTAATAAATGAATAAACACAAACAGAGATTTGTTCAGTTCATTTATGTTAACGAACAAACTTTTTTATTGTATCGTTTATCGACTCGTTTATAAGCTCGCTTATTGGCTTATTTATTGACTCGTTTATAAGCTCGTTTACTCAATTATCCTATTCCTTTTATTTTTTTACATTTTAAATATTTGCAAATGTAGGGACTAAATTGAAGATAAGGTGAACTTTGATGTTCACATTGTGAAGCCTAAGAAAATTAAGGACTAGTGATTTAGTTTCACCATTTTTCATTGATTTGCAAATAAAATGGTAAAAAGAGAGTGTTGGTTGCCGAATATTAAACAAATATGTTCATGAACGTTAAATAAACATGTTCATGAATGTTAGACGAACATGTTCAAAAACATTAAATGAACGTGTTCGTAAACACTAAACGAACGAACACGAAAATAGTACTAAAATTTAACCGAATATAAATTGTACATGAACAACTTTAAAAATAAACAAACGAACACAAACACATATTTGTTCGTTCAAGTCTGGTTAATTTACACCCCCTGCACCTGGATGAAAGTTAGCATATACTATATTCTCTAAACAATTCATGAGTTGTGAGAGTCTTATATATATTTTAGTATAAAATTTGAATTTGAATTCAAAGTTTAATTTTTACACTTATAAATTTTTTTGTTTAAATATGTACCTGATTTTTCTAAAATATTCGAATTGGTACTTATATTTTCTGTCAAAATCGATACCTAAACTCAACTTCTTGCACACATTTTGGAATCTGAACTTGACTTCAATATCAAAATATGGACAAAATTCAAGTTCATATCCTAAAATGTGTGATAGAAATCGAGTTCAAGCATCAATTTAGACAAAAAAAAAAGTATAAATATCAATTTGAGCTATTAGAAAAGCTATTTTAGGATATGAAATTGAATTTTGTCCATATTTTGATATTGAAGTAAAGTTCATATCCTAAAGTGTATTCAATTTAGAAAAAAAAAAGAAAGGTATAAATATCGATTTGAGCTATTAGGAAAGTTATTTTAGGATATGAAATTGAATTTTGTCCATATGTTGATATTGAAGTCAAGTTCATATCCTAAAATGTATTAACCTAACAAAGAAAGGGTTCTACATGTGCACCTATTGCACACCAAGCTCATAGGTTCAATGTTATCTATTAATAAAAAGAGTAAACTAGATCATTCGTTTATAGACTTTAGGGCTTTGGTCATTTAATTATACAAAGTTTAATCATTACAGTCGGATGCATAGTATATTTTGGTGTTGGCATCTAAGTAAAAAATATTTTTATTTTATTTTATGTTGACGTGTATTATTTTCTTTTTTCACCTTATCATCTTCTTCATCAAAATTTACATTCTTTTCACCTATTTTCACTCACAGCTGAAAACTGCCATTCTTTGACATAATTGATGGTCACATTAAATACCGATGAACACGTCTCATCATCTTTTTCCACTCTATTAATTTAGTTTTTTTAATAAAAAAAATCTCTTTAAAACTCGCAAAATTATACATAAAAAATTCATCATTTTGGAGGGTTCATGGCTTTTTCAAATCAGTGAGAAGTTTGGGATGTTCGTTTAAAACTCTAAACAGTGGAAAATATTAGTCCAAAAAGACAAATAACGTACATAAAGACTAGCCCCGTCAAACAAATATTGAAGGAGATTGGAGCATTAGAAGTATGCATAGAAGGACACGTTCTCCCCTCAAAGGATTATTTCAAGTACCTAGGGTCTATGATACATAAGGATGGGGGTGTAGATGATGACGTTACACACCGTATAAAGGAGGGATGGCTAAAGTGGAGAGCTACTACTGGAGTTTTGTGTGACTAGAAGGTGCCTCAAAAACTTAAGGGAAAATTTTATAGAATGCAATAAGACCAGCGCTGCTGTATGAATCAGAATGTTGGGCAATCAAGAAGGATCACGTAAGGAGGCTGGAGGCCGCAGAAATGAGAATGCTTCGATGGCCATGTGGTAGGACTCTGTGGGACATGACACCAAACTCTGCTATTAAGATGTCCTTGGGGGTGGTGCCTGTATCCGAAAAATTGAGGGAGGGAAGACTACGGTGGTTTGGGCATGTCCTTAGGCGACAACCGTCAGATGCAGTTAGGAGGGTAGAGTCGATTACAGTCGACGGTTCCAGAAGGAGATGACAACCAAGGCGGAAGTGGGAAGACTGCTTGAGATCTGATTTGAAGGATTTAGCCCTTACCGAGGACATGACCTCTGATAGGAAAGTATGGAGACTTAAGACCAGGGTAGCCGATTAGTGCGGGTCACATCCATAGAGTGTAACATTTCTGTCTTCTTTTAATGCATTTGTTGTAATTTCTATGACTTCTACTTTTTATACGTTTCTGTCATTGGAATTAATGAAGGCTTAGAGCTAGGGTAGTGGATTAGTGTTGACTTAGTTTAGGTTTTAACCCATTTGACTTTATTCCTTCTCGTAGCTTGCTATCGTTGACTTCTGTGTATCATTCTCTTCATGTTTCCTCTTTTTAATTTTAGTCGGGTCTTACGTTTTTGTCTATATGCAGAGATTATTATGCAGTGATTTATTAACAGTGATTACTTCCCATTACAGAAGCGCATATGAAGACTGTATATGAAGACTGTTCAAATATGTATTTATTTATTTATTTATACATGCATTGCATTTTATCTTTATTTTTAATTTTCTGACTGTCGGAGGTCTTCCACGGAAGCTGCTCTCAACCATGCGTTGGGGGAAGCCTACTACCCTACCTCCCCCTTATCCCATTGCATATGGGAATAGGGTTTTGTTGTTGTTGTAGTATTATTTTAATTTTTTTATAGAAGCTATTAATTTTATTAAAATAGAAGATATTCAAATTAAAATAAATGTTTACAACCACAACCATAACCTAAACATATAATAAAGATATTTTCCTAAACACAAGAAAACTAGCCACTTAAGATCACATAAGGACCATACAAGAAAAATGTTAAAAACCTAACTAAATAAACTCGAACAAAAGATAAATACAATCATATCTTACCGCATCGACAAACAAACACAAATAAGAATCGAGCGACGTGAAAATACTATCCACGAATGCAAATCGCGTATCCAAATCCAATCCGAAGGTCTAAAGCAGGGAAGATCAACATGATAACAAATAAGCGCCGTCTTGATAAGTCGTGACGATGTCAAATTAAACCCTAAAAAAGATAAACAAAAACAATGATCAAATGATTTAAAACGTGTCGTAAAGGCAGAGAATAACGTGTCATAAAGACAAAAAAATACATGCCATAAAGGAAGAATTATTAAAAAAAAACAAAGATACACTATGATAAAGTGAAGGAAAAACAATGAATACCGACAATCGACAACTAGCACTAAAATTTGTGTTGTCGTCGATCACAAAGATAGAAAAAAAAGAGACTAACCACAACCAAGGAAAAATAGAAAAATAATACAAACCCTATTTTATAAAATTTTAACAGTATTATTTTAATTTTAAAATATGAAAATCAGCATGAAAAGATTTTTTTAATGTTTTGATATCTTGCACAAATAGTTATAGATGAAGGCCGAATTGGACACATGTCACTAAATAATTACATGATATAATTAGAACGAATATACAGGCAACAATATATATTGAAACAGTTATGAACCATTTTGAATGAAATTTCTTGTCTTTCTCCTCTATTCCCTTCTTCATTCCTAATTTTCTTCAATTTCAACAATTCACAGTAAAACTGCATCTAATTTTCGTGGTATGTTTCTCGATCATTATTTTGTGTTGCATAGGAAGAGAGCTTGGAATTTTAAAGTGAGATGAGACAAAGAAATGGAGAATAAAGAAAATTTTTGTTTTTTGTTTTTGTTTTTTTTGGTTGTATGCCACATGTATACTATCAGTGATTTAAATAGCGGTCTACGAGCATAATAGCACCCGTGATATAACGGTAGCAGTTCATCCGATACCGCTATTGTATGATCGCGACACCCATAATCACCTCAATAAAGCTCGTTATGTCCGTAATCACTATGAACGCAACACAGTCAAAAACATGATCGCAACTGCTATTTAAATCCCTATATACTACTTCTCTCCCAAATTTAATTCTTTTAAACGTTTGTAACTGTAGTAATCCTGCAGCAAGTAGCTATAACAGGATCATAACTAATGTCTAAAGAAAAACAAGAACATGCATTAATAAACATAACAAAAATTTAACAGATACAATTTCTTTATATGCATTAATAAACCTAACAAAAATAATCCCTAAATTTAAGTTTAATTTTAATATTTATAATGAAGAAATTGATCTGGAAAATAAAATTTACGTGTATAAATGACATGGAAAAATGATTGACCTGGATTTTTTTAATTGGCTAGGATCATTGATAATGTGGTAAAAAGGGTTTACGAAACAATTTATCCTATATAATGAGGTGAAAATGATCTCATCGACAGGCAGGCAGTTCCAATTTACAAATTTAAATCATGGCAGGTGATGGAGAAGAGGCTACCCTGCAAGGGCAAGCTAAAATACTTCAAATCATGGATAACTTCGTCGAAAGCATGGCTCTCAAATGTGTCGTGGAGCTCGGCGTCGCCGACACACTGAACTCCCACCCGATGACTTTGCCCCAGATTGCTGCTCGCATTCCCTTCCCGAACCTCGACATGTACCGTCTTTCACGTGTAATGAGGTTTCTTTCCAGCCGGAATGTTTTCAATGCAACCGTTGATAAAGAAAGTGGGGAGACGATGTACGGCCTCACCGACTCGTCGAAATGGCTTCTTACCGACAACAAGTCGGAAAGTCTGGTGCTTGCAGTGCTTCTCGCAACGCATCCATGAATACAAAAGGGTTTTTGAGGAAGCAATGGCCTGTAACTCAAGGATAGTCATGAAAGCGGTTCTTAAGTATTACCAAGGTGGGTTCGATAATATCGAAACAATCGTTGATGTCGGAGGAGGATGGGGAGCTGCTGTGGCGGAGATCGTCGAGGCACATCCTCATATTAAGGGTTTTAACTTTGATCTTCCGAACGTTGTGGCTGGTGCACCCAAGTACCCCAATGTCATACATGTCGGAGGTGACATGTTTGACACTATTCCCATTAACCCTGATGCAATATTTCTCAAGGTATGTATATGTATAGTAGCGGATTTATATTTGATACACTGATAATATATAAACCGAATTTTCACATCGAATTGATTTAGTGGATATTACACAACTGGAGCGACGAAAAAAGCGAAGAAATCCTAAAGAATTGCAGGAAAGCTGTAGAGGAGAGAAAGGGGAAATTGATAATAGTGGACGGAGTTCTTCGTCCGAAAAGCGAAAACCTTTTAGATGTGGAAGCACAGAGGTATGATTTGAAGATGATGGTTATTTCTCCAAGTGGGAAGGAAAGAAGTGAAGATGAATGGGAGAAGCTACTGAAACGAGGAGGTTTCTCCCGTTACACCGTCATCAAAATCCCTTCTTTTCTATCCATAATCGAAGCTTTCCCTTCTGAATAAGAGCAATATATATATATCGGAAATAACAACTCTGGGAATGGAGTGATAGACCCAGAATTCTTCAGTCTCCTAATTCTCTGCTTGTCTCTCTCATCCATTATCAATGGAAATCCCAGGTACTGATGGTTGTAATAAAGCACCTCATGATTTGTACATGTACTGTATCTGCAAATAGACAGTAAGTTAAAATTATTCACGGCCAAAAATTGGCTCAAACGTCATAAAACTCAACATCGATGTGAACCAATCACAAGGATGGACGAATCAATAGGTCCAAATGCATCATAATGCTAACTCAATGTCGAGCGAAACAACTCCCGTGAGACGGAATGAATCCAGAGGTCTAAATTCACACCAAAGAGAACCAGTCACGTAAGATGGATGTACTCGAAGATCCAAAGGCGCCGTAGTATTAAATCACACCAGACGAAACAATCATTATTGGTGAGCGAATCCAAAGGTCCAAGACACTATATATATAACCCCCCCACAAAAGTTTCCAATTATTTGCTTAATAATAATTTTCCTTTTCTTTCAATATTGAAACGGAGTGGCTTGGCAGTATTGCACAGCAGCAGGTGCATGGCAGTAGGTGCATGGCAGGCAGCAGGTGGTGCAGCAGCCGAGTTTCAATATTATAAAATTTACAAGCTTTTTCATTGTCACGTCGTTTTATCACTGGTCGCATTAATGTGCTCTTCTCCTTGTGTTTTTCGGACCCTCTTGTTGCTTTTAGATGCTGTCGTTTTGTAACGATTGAGGTAGAAAGGATAAAGGAAATAGACGAAGTAGATTGAGAAGAAAATACTCATATATTTCTCATTAAAGGAAAAACAATACATCAGTATATATATATATATATATATATATATATATATATATATATATATATATATATATATATATATATATATATATATATTATATGCATAATACTAATAGAGAAAATAACCTCAGTGACAAAAAACACCTTATAATATACGATTTTAACCAAATTTTTTTAGATTTGCCAAAATGACCAACTAAATCGCAATGCGATTGATAATTCGCAACGCGATCTCCGGTATCGCAAATCAGTTTCCAGATTCGCAACGCGATTTTGACTATCGCATTGCGATTTTCCAAATTCGCGTTGCGATTTTCTTAATTCGTAATGCGAATACGTAAATTGCAACGCGAATTTGGAAAATCGCAATGCGATTACGTAAATCGCAATGCGAATACGTAAATCGCAATGCGAATATGTAAATCGCAACGCGAATCTGACTATCGCAATGCGATTTACATAGCGCCATTCATATCCAACGCGTATTTTTTTTTCAAATTCCAAACACGAATATATTAATATATCGAAACACTGAACCGTCCACAGTATATCCCGTAATCGCAACTCATAACCTAAAACCCTAAATCACAACTCAGTCTCATCTCCATCTCTCACTCTCTAAGGCGACATCCGTCCTCATCTCCGACGAAATCAGTCCCCATCTCCGACGATATCAGTCTCCATCTCCGGCGAAATCATTCACGGTCAGAAATGGAAAATCAACCAAATCAACCACCGATGGTTAGTTTTTTTAATTATTTTTATTTTGAAATTTTTACATTATTATTAGGTTTTTCATATTGAAATTGATGATAAGTTTACTGGTGTTTTCAATAATAGATTAACCATTTCACTTAGATTGCTTATTATATTCATTCGATTACTGCCAATACTGCTAAATTGTTTAGTCTTTAACCCTGTGAAGTTAGTATTTGTCTTTGTTTTGTCTTTTGGTTGAAGTAATGCAATCCATTCAAGTTTCTTTCAATTTCAGTATTTGAAACCGATAATGACTATCGCAATGCGATTCTGTCGTTGCGATTTTCATTTCGCATTGCGATTCTTGCGTTGCGATAGTTTGCGTTGGGATAGTCATTTTCGTGTTGCGATTTTCATTTTCGTGTTGCGATATAAAGTTTCAGAAACTATTCTTCTTCTGCAAATTGAAACTTTAATGAATTGCATTACTTCAACCAAAAAACAAAAACAAATACTAAATTCACAGTGTTGCAAATTTAAGTTTGAAGAATAAACTACTACTCTTTATGTTTATTGTTCTTGTTATATCTTCACAGTGTAGTTTTTGGTATATCTAAATTGGTATGTTTATTGTTTTTGCAGAACTTTTATTCGGCTCAATTGACCTTAAGAAATAAAGTAAGCCTGGCCAAAATAATTGCGTCGAAGCTTTCACCTGCACGAAGAAAAATATTTGAGGATACTTGCTTCGGGCCATGGTTGAAAGTACAACATCCGGGTGGAGATGCTATGTTGACCCATCTGTTTCTTCAAACCATGACTAGCGATCTACTAGAGACTATACAACGTCGTGATGAAGAGATATGGTTTGGTTTTCCACCGGCGTATACGTGTTTTGGGCGGGAGGAGTTTTGCTTAATCACCGGTCTACGTTTCGGACACGATGATGTAGATCGGTATACTAGACATATTACCCACCTATCATGGTTTTCCCGGGTTTTTCCTGAGCTGTCAACGGAGAAGTCGAATTTACACGTGGAAGACTTGACGAGATTATTGAATAAGAAAGATGGTTTTACTCGGATGGATGCCGTCGATGTTGTCCGAGTATGCCTTCTAATACTTTTGCAAGCCGGCTTTTTAGGCAGAGAGGCCCGACAACCTATTCCTAATGATCTAATTAAATTGGTAGAGGACCTAAATGCATGGAACCTGTTTCCGTGGGGTTCGTATCTATGGAGAGCTACATGGAATAAGTTGTCGTCTGCCTTTGATGATCGGAAAAGTTTGCGTGGCGATGGTTCCAAATACACTTTGTCAGGCTTTATTTGGGCCTTTAAGGTAATAATTTTTATATAATGTTTTCAAAATTATAATTAATTCTTTAACAATTACTAATGTTTGTTATTATATTGTTTGTAGATTTGGATATTTGAGGCCTTTCCCGCCATGCAGACATATGCATTAAAAACTTCTAATGATATTCCTAGGGCTATTTCCTGGAAGAGGAAACGGTCCTTGCAGCAATGGGAAGATTTACTACCGTATACTACAATAAATAATGTAAGTTAACACAAATACTACCATATGTTTATAAACAAGTTATTACTAGTACACGTTTAACTTTGTTTGAGCTTTTATATTGTTAGGAGGCCAACACTTCATTACAGAGGCTGACACCCACGGAAGCTGAGCTTGCCACTGATTGGTGGCAAGCTAGTAAGTTTTTTTTTTGATGGCACGGATGATGAGCAGCCACCACTTCGAGAGCCATCACCTCACCCAGAGCCATCACCTGATCGACCCGAATATACACCTCCACAACGAGAGTCATCACCTATTCTGTCACATCATCGAGCCTCTTCTCCACCATCACCTCATGATAGGCGACCGACAAAGATTCCATGACATTTATCTCCATGTTCTCCACCTCCACGTCCACGGGATGAGTTAGGGGAGTTACGTAATGAGGTCAATGCCTTACGTGAGGAGGTCGGTACTTTACGCGATGACAATGGTGCATGGCGTGTTGAGGTGTCTACTTTACGTGGTGAGGTAGCAGCTCTATGTGGGATTGTAGCATCATTGCAGAACGAGGTTCATACTCTACGCAACGAGGTAAGTTTAATATTTTTCATATTTAACTTGATGATAAATTTACTCGTAATTTCACTAGATTGCTTAGTAAATTCATTCGGTTGCTGCCAATACTGTTTAACTATTTATTCTTTAACCCTGTGAAGTTAGTATTTGTTTTTGGTTATCTTTTGGTTGAAGTAATGCAATCCATTCAAGTTTCAATTTGCAGAAGAAGAATAGTTTACTATCGCAATGCGAAAATGACTATCACAACGCGAAAATGACTATCGCAACGAGAGAATCGCAATGCGAAATGAAAATTGCAACGCGAAAATGACTATCGCAATGCGAAAATGACTATCGCAATGCGAATTTGACTATCGCAACGAAAGAATCGCAATGCGAAATGAAAATCGCATTGCGATTCTCTCATTGCGATAGTCAAATTCGCATTGCGATAGTCATTTTCGCGTTGCGATTTTAAGTTTCAGATTCTATTCTTCTTATGCAAATTGAAACTTGAATGAATTGCATTACTTTAACCAAAAGACAAATACTAACTTCACAGTGTTGAAAATTTAAGTTTCAAGAATAAACTACTACTCTTTATGTTGTCATTGAACCTGCACTAAACCTATATGTTGTCGTTTTAAATGTTTATATAAGTGTTTACTTCTGGAATGTTATCTGATGCATTTTGTGAACAATGATATAATAATGACTTGGGTGAATACCGTGCAAGTTTGAAATATATTTGTCTTTGTTTTCACAGTTTAATATCATGTCTGTTTATTTACTGATTTATGTATTAATTTATTTTTAGCGGCCCGCTAAGGTGGATGCTCTACGTCGGGTTTTTCTTGCAAGACGGAGTTCACGCATCAGACGGCGTGCACGTGCATTACGTCTCCGTTCACCCCAATAGTGCGAAGAATCCATAAGAAAAAGCCCGACTCACCTATCATCGTTCAAGAGGCCTCCCCTATCGTTCAAGAGGCCCCTATCATCCCTCAAGAGTCCCCTCCCACCGTTCAAGAGGCCACTTTCATTGTTGAAGAGGTCCCTCCCAACATTCTTGAGCCCAATTCACACGGCGTAATATATCGAATTATTGAGAAACCCCTCATGTGCCGGACATGATGGATGACTGTTGGCTTTCGTATAAGTTACCGGCCAGTACTATTCCGGCAGATGAAGTGGAGAGGAAATAACTACCGGAAACAATTCTGGATAATACCCTTTGGGCTAAGACCGCAGTTGATTTTTATCTACATAAGCGGAGCCAAGGGTGTTATGCTGACATATACAAACTCAACGATGATATGCATTTGTTGATTGAACGGTCTTGGTGGGGTGTATTATTAGGGGTTGAAGACAACGGCTATTTCGATGGGGG